TGTGTGTGTGTGTGTGTGTGTGTGTGATGGAGTGTTGCTGGAGTGCAATGGCGTGATCTCAGCTCACTGCAACCTCCGCCACCTGGATTCAAGCAATTCTCCTGTCTCAGCCCCCCCAATTCTCCTGTCTCAGCCCCTCAATTCTCCTGTCTCAGCCCCCCAATTCTCCTGTCTCAGCCCCTCAATTCTCCTGTCTCAGCCTCCAGAGTAGCTGGGATTACAGGCACACGCCACCATCACCAGCTAATTTTTGTATTTTTAGTAGAGGCAGGGTTTTACCATGTTGGCCAGGCTGTTCTTAAACTCCTGACCTCAGGTGATCCACCTGCCTCGGCTTCCTAAAGTGCTGGGATTACAGGCGGGAGCCACTGCACCCGGCAGTAAAATTATTTGTAACTACAGGCTTTACAAAAATAGGTGGGGGGGCTGCATTTTGCCTGTAGGATGTAGTTTGCTCGCCCCTGATTTAGGAGGTGCATGAACCATTTTTATTGAGATGCCTAAATATTTATTTTTATGTATGTTAAAAAAAAAATCTCGACTTTCCATTTATAATGCCGATATAAGGTTTTCCTTTTAAATCAGCATATTTATGTTAAAACAAAAAAAAAAGAGTTGATTTTTAAAAAATATTTTAAGTAAATAATAGTGATTGTACTATATGGATTGAGTGAAATTATCACAGTGGTACACAAATGACTGAAGTTTCGGAAACACTGAACTAGATAAAGAATTTGCTCCTGCCAATCTTAAAATTCCATGTGTTTAATATCCCAAGACACTTACTAGTGGGGTGATCTTGAGCTGCTGTGTTCCCTTTGCAAATGTTAACTCTATGTCAACATTATTTCAAGAATCAGAAAAAGAATTTGAGTGAATAGATTTTTGTTTTGTTTTGTTTTGTGTTTTTTGTCCAAAAAATTTTATTTTATTTTTATCGTTTCAACTTTTAGTTTAGATTCAGGGGGTATGTGTGGAGGTGTGTTACCTGTGTGTATTGCATAATGCTGAGGTTTCAGGTAGTACTGATCTGATCACCAGATACTGAGCACAGTACCCAGTAGTTTTTCAACCTTGGCCCTTCCCTGCCTCCTCCCTCTAGTGGTCCCCAGTTGCTCCCATCTTTATGTGCAGGAGTACCGGATGTTTAGTGCCTCCTTCTAAGTGAGAACATGAGGTATATGGTGTTCTGCTCCTGATTTAATTTGCTTAGGATAATGGCCTCCAGCTGCACCCGTGTTGCTGCACAGGGCATGATCTTGTTCCTTTTTATGGCTACATCGTACCCTGTTTCTGGGAGCATAGTATTGAACATTGTAAGTCAGAGTTCAGGGGTCAGGTGTCAGCAAACAGGAAGCGTAAATAAAGAGCAGTATTGCATAGTCAGAGTCTCCATGCTCAAGTCCTCTCTTTGACACTTCCTCGTTATGTCACTTGGGCAATTGCCTCAACCCTTTTGCCTCAGTTTTCTCATCTAAAATGGGGATAGACAGGATGTGGCAAGGGTGAAATAATGTCACTCAGAGGTGACATTAGGGGGTCCCTGCTCCTAGTGAGTGGTGTGTGTGTTATTATTATTAAAAACCAAATATCTCCCTGCTAGGGGCTCCTGCAGAGGGCGGCTTCAGGAGTCCCTCACCCCAGCCTCCTCACAACCTCTCCTGCTGTTGCAGGGTGATGTTGGACTCGGTGACGCACAGCACCTTCCTGCCTAACGCATCCTTCTGCGATCCCCTGATGTCGTGGACTGATCTGTTCAGCAATGAAGAGTATTACCCCACCTTTGAGCATCAGACAGGTGCGTACGTTTAAAGGAGCCCATCCGAGCGCAGCCTGGATTGGCTGGAGTGGGAGGTGGTGCTGGCCTCAGGTGGAAGACAGCGCTGTGCTGGGGCCTAGGAACAGCAGCGTTCAGGGCAGAGGGCTGGAGGGCTCCTGGATGGAAGGGCAGTCTCTTGCAGATAAAAGGCGCTGCAATCCTCACCACCCCCAACTCCCTAGTTCTGTGGCTTAGCGGCCGTGCGCAGCTCAGCTAACCTCTCTGAGCCTCATTTTGCTACCAAGTAAAATGTCAGTCTCTTGGGGTTATTATGATATTTAAACAATGTAGTAGAAAGCAAGCCCTTAGCCCAGGCCCTGGTATATGGTGGTTGCTGGATCATGGCGGTTTGGGCCAACATTTACTGAACACAAGCTGTGCACCAAACCTTGGGCCAAGCATCAAACCTTGCCAAAGCCCTATGTGATGAACAATTATTATCCTCATTTTATATATGAAGAAACTGAGACACAGAGAGGCTAAGTGACTTGCCCTGGGCCTCACAGTTAAGCTCCATGCAAGTTGACCCATCTTATAATTGATATTGCACTGTGGTTATTGATATGACTATATCATTATTCTCTGAGCTTCTGTTTCCTTTTCCCTAAACCAGTGGTGATGAGAGCTACCATAAAGTTTAAGGGAGTCAAAGGGTGTAAATACGTAGCCTGGCACAAAGCAAGTACTCAGTGAATATGAGCCCCTCGCTGTCCCCCAGGCCACCCTCCCCACCCTTCCTCCTCCCTCTCAGCCCAGATGTCTCCACCTGAGAAGGCAGCATGGGACCTTGAGAAAATCCCATGCCAGAGGGAGGCCAGCCAAGCTTTGCCCCAGAAACCCTTTGAGGGCCTCTGTCCCTGAGGTGCTTGGGTGACCACACATCACAGCACACCTGGCTGACTGATGGCACAACAGGAGCACACACTGCTCGGCAATGATGCAAGTGCCAATCAAGCTGTCAGTCCTCACTGAGTGTTTTAGTGTTTGGAGGCAGGCAGTGTGCAAAAGAGGCCATGCCTCCGGGGGCTGCAACATATCCACGACCAGGAGCCCCTGCTTCTGGGGCTAGGACCCAGGCCGCACACACAGACTTGAGGCACTTAACTGCATAATGCAATCCCATAACTGCCCCCAACCCACACAGACGTACACACACACACACACACACACACACACACACACACACACGTGAAATCTCTCACCCTCATCTGCAAGGTCTAGATCATTGCATTTGGACTTGAATCAAGGAGATACATTGTACAACGCTCCTTTAGGCCTAAGAAGCACCTTATTTCCCAGAAAGATGTAAGAAATGTGCTCCATCCCCCTCCCTTGAAATTTGGTTAAGAGGTTAAATCTGAAGGAGGAAAATGAAAACTTTCATGTCCCCATCCCCTCCCCATGTGTCCCCCAGTGGTAGGGCCCAGCTCCAGGGCCTCTCCCTGCCCATGCAGAAGGCCAGGCCTCACTTAACCCAGACCTGCCATCGTGGGAGCCCCTGCTTTCTGCCTATTCTGCTGGGAGGCAGTTGGGGTGGCAGTGGGAGGGGTGGGCCACAACCACCTGCCCCAGGCAATGGCCTGGGCAGTGAAGCAGCAGCTCTATGTCATAAAGACCTGGTGTGTCCCAAAAGGGAAGTCTAGCTTTGACACTAGCTGTGTCATCTTAACCTCTCATGTCCCAGTTAGTTTTCTCATCTGTAAAACGGGAACAACCACAATGCTACCCTGTAGAGCAGTTACACAAATGAAATGAGTTATCATATGGGAAGTGTTTAGGACAGAGTCTGGTACCTGGTAAGCACACATAAGTGTTTTTAAAAAATAGAAGTATTGGCTGGATGCAGTGGCTTACACCTGTAATCCTAGCCCTGTGGAAGGCTGAGGCAGGATTATCACTTGAGCCCAGGAATTCGAGACCAGCCTGGGCAACACAGTGAGACCTCATATCTACAAAAAATTGTTTAGAAATTAGCCAGGCATGGTGGCACGTGTCTGCAGTCCCAGCTACTTGGGAGGCTGAGGCAGGAGGATCCCTTGAGCCCTGAAGGCCAAGACTGCAATGAGCTGCAATCATGCCACTGTACTCTAGCCTGGGTGACAGAGACACTGTCTCAAACTAAAGATCAGGGAGCAGTCACAGTGGCTCATGCCTATAATTCCAGCACTTTGGGAAGCCAAGGCCGGTCACCTGAAGTTAGGTGTTTGAGATCAGCCTGGGCAACATGGAGAAACCCTGTCTCAACGAAGGAATACAAAAATTAGCTGGGTGTGGTAGCGCCCACCTGTGGTCCCCGCTACTCAGGAGGCTGAGACAGGAGGACCCCTTGAGCTCAGAAGGTCCGGGCTGCAGTGAGCTGTGAGTGAGCCACTGCACTCCAGCCTGGGCAACAGAGGGAGACTCCGTGTCAAAAAAAAAAAAAAAAAGTATTAGTTTCAGAATGGGATAATGAACAAGTTCTGGAAGTGAATAGCAGCAATGACTTCGCAACAGTGTGAATGTACTTAATGCCACTGAACTGTACCCTTAAGAAGAGTTAAAATGGTAAGTTTTATGTTATGGCTATTTTACCACAATTTTAAAGAATGAAGTTAACAGAAGTGATCACCAGCGGCATTGCCAAAGTTACTTAAGTGCAGCCAAGCCTTGGCCACTCAGACCCAGCTCTCCAGCTGGAGGCTTCTGCATTCCCATCAGCGCCATGAAAGGTTAGACCAGGTCATTGCTGGAATCCCTTCCAGAAGCTTCTCTGATTCCTGCATCAGGCAATATCGAAGACACAGTTTTCTCTTCCCACCACCCATTGAGAGAACAGAAATTCCCACCAGCGCATTCAGCCAGTGAAAGTAAAATGTCCTTCGAGACGGGCCCAGGTTCCTAAGCTTCCCTGAGGGATGGAGCCAGGCTTTTGAGTAGCCACCGGCCCTCGGGATTTCAGGGGAAGCTGAGTATCTCTGACCTCCAAAAGGTCGAAGTTAGGTGCAAAATGTTCACCTGGAGTGAACACCTCTCTTGGAGCTACCCGGGCACCAGGTGAGCCTCGTAGCCCCTGCTCTCCTCCGCGTCCTACACGTGGGAGGAAAAGCAGGAGGGACCTTCCATCTTTTTCAGTGAGGAAATGCCCCAGAGAGCGCATCCGACTGAGTTTCTGCAAAAGCCCTCTCTGACAGGAATGCATCAGGGAACAGCCAGCTTTGCCTCTGGGCACTGCTCAGCCAACTTCCCCTGTTCCATGGCCAGAAGGGTCAGAGACACCTCTCTTGAGGTTCTTACCCACCTCCCAGGAAATAGTATCCTAAATTCAGGGCCCCCCTAAGAATTGTCCCAATGGCAGCTTCCTGTTCACCCAGGTGCATGGGCAGGCACTGCCATTTACCAGCCATGTGACCTGCAGCCCATTTTTTGAGATATGCTCTCCTCTGCCCCCTGGAGTTGGGAAGATTGAATGAGATTTTGTGTAGAAAGTGTTTAGTTACACGCCTGGCACTTGGGAAGAGCTCACCCTAGCCAGGAACTGCTCACCTTCCCTGTTGAGTGGAAAAACAGCCTTCCCTCTCCTCTCTTTATTGTCCTTATTGAACAAAAATAACACAGATTTCCATCTCAAACTTCCCAGTTCAGAATTTTTAACGGCTTAGATATTTTGAGACCCGAGGGAAGGGAAGGAAAAGGAGAAAAAAATGATGTGCCTTCAAGACAAATGATGACTGGGAGAGGGAGGGGGGAATACTCAGCCTATTTAGGAAAACCAGCTGTTCTCAAAAACCCTTCAAATGGCTTGAGCAGAGTGCTGCTGAATCTGCCCTGGTATGCTAACCACAGACGATTCTGACCTGCTCTTTGAAGCAGGACTTCTGCTTGGCTGCACTGCAGGCTGGAAGGTGGACAGTCACAGATTGCAAAATGCTCTAGAATTTCATGAACTCACCCTGCCTTGCCTGTGGCTTTTTCCAAGTAAAGAATGATGACGACTGGAAAATGTACCCAAGTGGGAGGTAGGGTTGGTGGTGGGGAGGCTGCATGTAGTTCACATGCAGATGATATTTTTAAAAGATGATTTCTCCAATTGAGCTCCAGGAGCCAACCCTTGGATAGTCATTGAACACCCTGGCGTGGCCGCTACTTTCTTTCTGGAGTTCTCTCCTTAGCCTCCATGGACCATACCCCTCCCCTAACAGCCAATGTGCCATGCGCACATGCAGCACCTCCTTTGCTTTGGAATCTTGCTGATACTTTGTCACACTGCAGAGGCTTCTAAACTGGGGTTCACGAGAGACTTTAGGGGTTTCCCAGAGGTTCCTCAGGGACCATCAGAGACGGGAGTGGAAGTGACAGTTGAGAAGATGGGGCTTCAGTCCTTCTCTCTCCACCTCCATCCCTAAGCAGGCTCCTCCACTTTAATTCTGGGCTGCAGGAACCAGAATAGACCCAGATAACCCACTTCTAGCGCTGCCACTTACGAGTTATGTGACCTTGAAAAGGGTCACACCCATGTGCCTTTCTTTCTCCCTTCGTAAAACAGGTGACATGATACAGGACTTTATAGCATTGTGTTGAGGACAACATGAGAAGGCACAAAGCATTTAGCACATACTAAGTGCTCAATAAATACGTTAGCTATAATATTATTGCACAATGTGAGATTTTATTTGAAGAACACTTTTTGTAAGGAAAAAAAATTGCAAAACCCACTGGTCAGAGAAAGAGGCATTTGGATCCCCACATGGGCTTTTCTAAGCAAGCTTCATGTACTGTCTACAGAAGTTTGAAAGCAGATAGAAAGGAAAGAGGCTAAGAACTTCTAGATCAAAACTAGATTAACAAATACAAAATCAGCTGAAAGTCTGAGGTGAGCCCTGTGGCAGTGCCCCACCGCAGGAGGACACCCCGTTGGCCACCTCTAGCCCATTCGACGTGCACCTGAGCCGTCTGTGTGGCCGTGGTCCCAGGAGGGCTCAGCGCTTGGCTCTCCTGGCACC